CAGGTCGAGGCTGCGGTGGCCGGAAGCGGCCACTGCACTCCAGTCTGGGCGACAGAGTGAGACTCCAACTCAAAAAAAAAAAAAAGAAAAAGAGAAAGAAGGAAAAACCTGTGTACCTGATCTTAAACCAGGCAAGGTGGGGACCAAAGGGAGGCCCAGACTTTACCTACATGATAACCACTTGTATACTTTATCCTGAAGTGTACCCCGGGGGTGAATTCTAACACTCAGCACTGCTACTATGCTTAACTGGGTTTGAGTTAGATCATCTCTAATATAACTAGTCCATAAAGTATTACGTTCTCTACAAGATTTTACTTCTTTCATAAATATTAATCTCATAAGTAATTTAAGCATCCCATATGTAATTCATCTTTAGGGTGGGTTCCTCTCATGTGCGTTTCTGAAACACCCAGTCATACATACAGTGCATATTCAAGTCCTTCTTGCGACTGAATGTTCTCATCATGGAATGGAAATTTCCACGGAACTGAGTAGCTATTGATTGTGTGCTTCACCCCAACCCCACGACGAGTGTTTCTGATGAAGGCGCTTCCCTTTTTCTCTTTGTCTCCACTAAGACGTCACCGCTATTATATACGTCGCGGCCTGCAGTAGCTACAACATGGTGATTCGGGAAGATAACAACACCAACAGACTGAGGGAATCCCTGGACCTTTTTGAAAGCATCTGGAATAACAGGTTATAAAAGAACACATTCAGTCTCTCCACTGGATTGCAAATTTTCTTTATTAAAAATACAATCCGCTAACTTTCATTTTTATTCTCCGGATATATCCTTCCCTACTGATAAGTCCAGAACTGTAAGACGTACCTCTTTTAGTCCATCTAAAGTACAGGCATTCTCAAAATGAGGAGTGTTCCTTGATGAAGCTCTGATAGTTCTTTGGCAAGACAATTGAAGTCTCTGCTCTGAAAGCCTAGGATCACAGGTGGCCCTCCACATCTGTGGGTGCCACTTCAGAGGATTCAACCAACTGCAGACTGAAAATATTCAAATATAAATTTAGCAATACAACATTTAAAAATTTAGTATAACAACTATTTACATAGCATTTACATAGTATTATGAGTCATCTAGAGATGATTTAAAGTATATGGGGGTATGTGAGGCTATATGCAGATACTACACTATCTTATTTCAGGGACTTGACCATCCTTGGATTTTGATATCCATAGAGAGTCCTGGAACCAATCCCCCATGGAGACCAAGGGATGACTGCATATCGAGGGTCCAAAATAGGTGTTTTTGTTTTTATTTCTGGCTTTGTTTTGTTTTGAGTCAGAGTCTCACTGTGTCGCCCAGGCTGGAGTGTAGTGGCACATTCACCACCACAGCCTCGACCTACTGGCTTCAGGCAACCCTTCCGCCTTGACCTCCCAAGTAGCCAGAACTACCAGCGTGCTCACCACACTCAGCTAATATTTTTTATTTATTGTAAAGGTCTTGCCAAATTGCCCAGGCTGGTTTCGAACCCCTGGCTCAGGCAGTCCTCTCGCCTCCACCTCCCAAAGTGCTGGGATTACAGGCGCGTGAGCCACCATATCCAGCTCAGTGTAAGTTTTGTTTGGCTTTTAAAATTTAGAAAACACCAGTTTAGAACATTCACTAATAACTAGATGATCTCTAAGATCCCTTGCAATGCATAATCACCACATAATCATGTTTGAAACTGTTAACATTGCAAAGTGGCAGAAGTGATTATTTCGGAAAGGAATATCTAGCAGGCATACACATAATACATGACATTTATGTAGTGAAAAATACAATTTTCTTCTGAAATACTTAGGAAGAAATATCACCAAGAAGGAGGATAGAAAACATAAGTTGACCTTGCAAAAATATCTATTAAGGGTTCAACAACCATCCTCGGTTGTGTGATATTAAGACAGTTAATGGAAGCCAGGCTCGGTGGCTCAGTCTGTAATCCCACGCCTTGGGAGGCTAAGGTGAGTGGATTGTCTGAGCCTGCGGGTTCGAGACCCGACTGGGCAACTTGGTGAGACCTCATCTCTACAATAAATCAAAAAAGTAGCCGGGCATGGTAGCGCGTGCCTGTAGTTCCAGCTACTTGGAAGCTGAGCGGAAGGATCGCCGGAGCCCAGCAGGTCGAGGCTGCGGTGGCCAGGAACGGCCACTGCACTCCAGTCTGGGCGACAGAGTGAGACTACAACTCAAAAAAAAAAAAGACAGTTAATGGGAAAGAAAAGGGGGTCAGGCAATATCAGATATACAGAGGAATACTGTGTGTGTGTGAGGAGGGACCAAAAATAAACAGAATTATCTTTTGGAGGGTGGGTCTTTGTAGTGCTGACTTCTCCCACTAAGTAAGTGTTCTAGGAACCCATCACCATCAGTATACTAGCTAATATTGTGAGAGGCTGCATTTGGCTTCAGTGAATTTGGGGAGGGGAATTCTTACAACACATTTGCCCATTTCATTATGGGTGATTTACCAGCACACCGGCCCACACCACACCGAGTGTTCAGCAGTTTTTGCCCAAAAGCAGCATGGCCCCCATGCCCTGTCCTCCCACCTCATCCCAAGCAACTTGTTTTTATTTCCCTGGATTTAAAAAGGCCTCAGAGGGAAACATTTTGCTAAACTGGAAGAGGTGAAACAAAAAACAGCAGAAGCACTAAAAGGCATCAAAACTGACGAGTTTAAAAATTGTTATGAACAATGGAAAAATTATCTCGATAGGTGTATTGCATCAAACGAAGGGTACTTTGAAGGTGACTGAAGTGTAAATATGTAAGAATAAATACACAGGCCAGTCTCGATGGCTCAACCTGTAATCCGAGCACTTTGGGAGGCCGAGGCGAGTGGATTGCCTGAGCCCGCAGGTTCAAGACCCACCTGGGCAAGTTGGCAAGACCTTGTCTCTACAATAAATCAAAAATTAACTGGGCGTGGTAGTGCATGCCTGTAGTTCCAGCTACTTGGGAGGCTGAGGCGGAAGGACCACCAGAGCCCAGCAGGTGGAGGCTGCAGTGGCCGGGAGCGTGCCACTGCACTCTAGTCTGGGTGACACAGTGAGACTCCAACTCAAAAAATAAAAAAGAATAAATACACAATTTTTTATAAATTCTAAGGTTTTTTTAGGGGGATCCCCCTCATGACTATATATATGTATGACCACAATATTGTTATATGAAAAAGCACATTTTAAAATACCACTATCTTATTTTTTTTAATCTATTTTTAAACTTTATTGATGTGGGGTACAATTCAGGATTAGATAGAGAGATCCTTCTTTCTTTTTTTTTTTTAGAAAGCAGGATTTATTGAGAGGACAGAAAAGCTCCCAGAGGGAAGGGGACCTGAGAGGGTTGCCCGATAGATCTTATTTTTATAAATAAACGAGAGGGTAGAAAAATCTAATTAAAAAAAAAAGTTAAATCTAATTTTTTTTTTTAAGTCTAATGGTAGTTGTCTCAGGGTGTAAGTATATTTGATTTTTTTCTATGTGTTTTTTTCTATAATTTAAGATTTGTCTTTACAAAGATTGTGTATTTTATAACTAGAAGAAACATTAAGGCTATTTCCATTTGAGGGGGAAATGATTTGTATTTTTCATTCATAGATTCCTGTAGATTAATCAATTAGCTTGATTTTTTTTTGAAGTTATGGAATTTCCAGAAGCTTTGATAATTCGCACAGCTAAGCTCTTTTTTCCTCAGATTTATTTTATTTTTTTAATTGACATATAATAATTGTGCATACTTATGGGGTACATGGTGATATTTCAATACATATCGTATATACTGATTAGATCAGGGTGATTAGCATAACCATCATCTCAAATATTCTCAGCTTCTATTTCATTAAATGTAGAACAGAAACCTTTTCATACTCTACCCTCACTGCACCTGACCCACCTCCCTTGGGTCTGTCTTATAAAGTACAGTTAATCTAGATCTGATTAATATTATGCTCCAAATCTGGAGAAACTTAGACATGTTCAGAAGAGGAGGCAGGGAGGTGGAAGAAGAACCAAGCCAGCCACAAATTAAGCTCTGTGATTAGCTAATGAGTCGTGTATTATTTTGTCATCATTGTTGTTAAAGTTTGAACTTCTTCCAGTGTGAGTTTTCTTACCCTTTCTTGGTAAATTACACCACAAAAATCCAAGTGTATTCATTACATAAGTAAATATTAGTTTTGGTACCAATAAATGTATATCCCCAGTGGGACCTAATAGAAAGTGTTTAGCTACTAAGGTAACTACATGTTGAATGTCTCTTATCCAAAATGCTTGGGAACTGAAGCACTTCAGATTTCTGGCTTTTTTGGATTTTGTAATATTTGCATTATACTTACTGGTTCAGCGTCCCTAATCTGAAAATTCAAAATGTGAATGCTCTATTGAGAATTATCTTTGAGTATCTTGCTGGTGCTCAAAAGGTGTTGGATTTTGGAGCATCTCAAATTCCAGATTTTTGGACTAGGGATCCTCATCCTTTACCTGTATTTGTTTATTTGCCTGCAAATGGAATGAAGATACTGTTGTATCAAACAGTTCTGAATCCTATACATTGTTAGGAAGATGACAGTATGCTTTTTTTTTTTTTTTTTTTTGGTGTGAGTTTTTTTTTTTTTTTTTTTAGGTGGAGTCTCACTCTGTCGCCCAGCTGGAGTGCAGTGGCACGCTCACAGCCACCCCAGCATCAACCCACTGGGCTCTAGTGATCCTTCAACCTCAGCCTTCCAAGTAGCCAAAACTACAGGCGTGTGCTACCACACCCAGCTAATTTTTTATTTATTGTGAGATGAGGTCTCGCCAAGTTGCCCAAGCTGGTCTCGAACCTGCAGGCTCAGGCAATCCACTCGCCTCGGCCTCCCAAAGTCCTGGGATTACAGTCTGAGCCACCAAGCCCGGCCGACAGTGTGCTTTTAATATAGTAACTTCCATGTTAGAGGTACTTTCACATACTAGCATATGTGTATATTTATCTCTTCTTTTTAGGTGGTTGCGGACTATTTCTATTATCCTGTTCCTGAACAAACAAGATATGCTGGCAGAAAAAGTCTTGGCAGGGAAATCAAAAATTGAAGACTACTTCCCAGAGTATGCAAATTACACTGTTCCTGAAGATGGTAAGATTTCAAAACAGTTCTCATGATCAAGAAATAGGATTTTTTTTCAGTAGCCCTGTAACTATAATTCAAATACTTCTGATGAATCTAAGAGACTCCATGAATTTAAATCAATTCTCTCATCTACTGTATCCTAAAGTACTAAAGTATTAGCATGTCCTATTTAGAATTCCACTTGTAAATGCTTCACAGCTTGAATTTGTATTCAAACTGTGCAGAAGAAATGGCCATTTTGAGGTGTGAGTATGTCACGTGCCCGGTGAGTTCTCTCTGGCACCTCCGCCTGGTCTGCTATGAGTGGGGACCTTGTGAGCCCTTCGCCTTCACAGTGACCCTACATGGTAGTTTCTGTTATTTTTCCTGTGGAAGAAGGCTGAGAGAGGTAAATGACACATCAGGGCCACTCAGAGGGAGACTTGTGAGGGCAGGGCAGTCCTAAGTCCTTTGTTCCCAAGCCCACACTTCCAGTCACTGTGTTGGCGTGATGCCATCTCCAGCATTGTCTTTGGCCACTACCCAGGAGGGTGGCCAGCCATCTAAGGCCTCCAGACACTGAGGGCGTCCCACGCTCGGGGCTTGCAGTACTAAAGGCAGGAAGGTAAACCAGGAGAAGCTGGTCACTCCATGATCAGCGGCTGTGAACAGTTTCAGTTTACACCAGTTCCACCAGAGGCTGGTAGGAGTGACTTAAGACAAAATAACTCCGCTTCTTAAACATGTGGATCCCAAAAGAGACAAAGCAGAATGAAGAAGACTTTCCTGGAAGTTATAGGTAAGATTTGGGGGGATTCGTGTTTTATCATCAATGAAGAGGGAAAACTTGCGTTTGTCCTTAGACTTTCTCACTCCTTGTGTTCATTTTCTTTGTTCTATCATGGTAGAGGCCTTGTAGAATTATATTAATACTAAAATCATGACCCGCCTTGGATCTCGTAGCAAAATCCTATTGCTAGATATTTCCATATAGAAGTGAATAGACATTGGAAATGGACCCAACTAGTTCTTGCACAACCAGCAGCCTCCATACCTACCCGCGTGTAAGTCAGCATATGGTCCGCTTCCAGGCTCTTTCTTAGGGTCAAATCGTATGTAGATCTCATTGAAATGCATCATCGCCTTTACTCTAACCACACTCAACATGGCGATGCGCTCTCCAGGACTGAGGTCCCGAAGCCGCTTGCTCTGGGACGTGACCAGAGCATTGCTTTTGCTTTCCCCCTCTCCTCCTGGGGTTCCTGGGAGAAGCTGAAGTAGTGTTAAACCCAAATTTCAGAATCCGAGAGACCAACAAAGAGCCAGCTCTGATGCAAACACACAAGGGTCTTTATTCAGGCTCGAGTCTGGGCTCATGCCCGAAGCAGCAGCTTCAGGGATGAGAGCCCCGATCCAGCATGGCAAGCAGTTTTTATATATCATTACAGAGGGAGGGGAAAGAACTTTAAACTTGTTTTTACATGATAGGGTAATTTCTCCTAATGGTTACAGGGGCACTTGGGATTGGTCTGGTTCGTTCAGCTACCTGTGATTGACGAGGGAGCTGCTAAATGAGCAGAGTGGAATGTCAGCAGGCAGGCTAAGCAAAGGAATGTCCGGGAAGGGTTTATTACTTGACATTCACATACTGCTAGCAGCAGTTGCGGAAGCAATCGGTTATTTTATGAGACAAACAAAAATTAAACTTAACAAAATTCTAAGTACAAACACTGCAAACAAATACAGTGAACGTGGGGTATGAATTCATATAGTAATAGTTCTCTTAGAGTGTTTTGTTTTTGTTTTTTTAATCTCTTGGGTCTCTCAGTAGATACCGCTTAATGGGGGGAGGGTAAAATGATCTTCCTGGGTATCATTCCACTGTTTCCTGTGGCCCCATGGAATCTCTTTTCCTAAGATCTAGGCTAGGTAGCTGAGTGTTCTCATGACTCTTTGCCCTCTGTTGCAGGGTGGCTTGGGGGGCCTAGTCGGGCCTGATCTGGGTATCCACCATGATCTGCAGGAGGACCGGTGCCAGGGCAGCCAGGGTGAAGGCGGGAGAGAGGGAAGAGGAAGGAGAGACAGTGCTCAGTGAGGGGAAGGGGAGGAGCACAGCACCCAGAGAAGGGGAAGGGGAGGGCAAAGAGTCTTGAGAACACTCGGCTCCGTAGCCTAGATCTTAGGCAAAGAGATTCCATGGGGCCACAGGAAACAGTGGAGTGATCCCAGGAAGATCATTTTACTCTCCTCCCATCAAGCGATATCTATTTCCCCTTCTCCGGGAACCACTTCCTGTCCCTCCCCTCCCCCAGACCAGGCAGTGGCCAATCTCTGGAGGGTCCACCTCCACAGCGCCCATCCCTCAGGCCCTTCCCTGTTTCCTTCCTCATAATCTCAGTTCCCCTCATCTCAGTGACTGCCACCGCTTCCTGCCTGACCTCCTTATATCACTCACTTTTCCAGAACATTCTCTAGACTTCTGTCAAAGTCATCTTTCTGAGACACAGGCATACCTCACTGCAAAAGGCACCACGACCACCACCACTGGCTGGATGGCACTACAAGCTGAGGCCACTTGCCCCAGCCAGGGACTGTTGAAGGACTCCAGTCCTGGGGCTGAGGGACCCTGGGCTGCTGGCCACCGTGCCAGGCTTGGTGACTGATGCTCACCTGGGCACCATCTGCCACCTCCCTCTATGCCATGTCCTTCCCAGGGAACCCACCTCTCCCTGGACATCTGTGGTACCTGCTGGCAGGCTACGCCCACCATCCAACTCTGAAGTCCTCAACTCATTTACTGAGCAATTGAAGGGCACAAACTATTGGTTCATGTGGCAGTGTGGAGGAAACACACAATTATGCCAAGAGACAGAATACAAGCAAAACAGATGTGTACCATGTGAATCCATTTATCTGAAGTCTAGAGTACAGCCTCCTGCATGTGACGTCAGCGGTTGCCTGGCAACAAGAGGGCAGGACAAGAAGGAGGGGCTGTGAGGGAGGAGGATGCATTTGGGGTGTGGATACGCGCATTAACTCTATTGTGGAGATGACATCGTGACTGAAGCATATGTCAGATCTCGCCAAGATGTACATTTAAAATATGTGCATTTCAACGTACATCAGTGCCCTCCTGAATAAAGCCAGTGCCCTGTTCCCACACGGGAGAACCATGTGATCTCTAGAGGTGGAGAACTTGGCAAGTTCCCCAGAAATTCCAGAGAATACCCTGGCCGATGAACACAGTGTGTTCTGGGGCCCTCCCCTTCCTCCTCTGTGGGTGCTGTGCCCCTTCCCTTGCCCCTTTCTGGGTGCTGTGTTCCTCCCCTTCCCCCTCTCTGGGTGCTGGGTCCCTCCTCTTCCCCCTTTCTGGGTGCTGGGTCTCTCCCCTTCCCCCTACCTGGGTGCTGTGCCCCCCCCTCCTCTCTGGGTGCTGTGCTCCTCCCCTTCCCCTCACTGAGCATTGTGTCTCTTCTTTCTCTTCTCTCTCCCCTGTCTTCACCCTGGCTGCCCTGGTACCTGTCCTCCAGCAGATCATGGTGGATACCCAGATCAGGCCTGACTAGGCCCCCCAAGCCACCCTGCAATGGAGGACAAATCTGTAGCCTAGATCTTAGAAAAGGAGAGTCCATGGGGCCACAGGAAACAGTGGAATGATCCCAAGAATATGGACTCTTCAGGTGGAAAAGGTCTGAGGAATGCTGAGAGACAGAAAGGTCTGCTACAGTCCATTCCATCCGGCCTCCAAATGTCTGAGTCTGTAGCAGGAACCAGGAAGGGAGTTCTCCTAGGAGGGAGACTGATGGAAGTGGAGAGCACAGCTCAGGAGAGCAGCCAGGTGCTGACCCTGACTGGGAGGGTGAGGCCGGAGCTGACTCCCAGTACCAGGAAGCTCCCAACTGTCCCGTCCTTCACAGCTCTGTGAGGAAGGACAGTTCTGGACCTCAGTCTGGTCAGTATTCGATGAGATGCCTTCATTTTACTTGAGTGGAAGTTATCCCCCACCCCCAACCTGTCTCCTTCGATTCGGGCTGTAACAATACCTCAGACTGGATAATTTGTGAACAACAGAAATGCATTGGTCACATGTCTGGAGGCTGGGAAGTCCAGGATTCAGTGTCTGGTGAGGGCGCTCTCTGCTTCTTAGATGGTGCTGTCTCAGTTCCCCCTTTACATGGGGGGGGAGGTGAGAGGTCTCTCTCAGGCCTCTTTTGTAAGGACACTAATCTCATTCATGAAGGCACAGCCCTCATGACCTGATCCCCTCCCAGAGCCCCCCCCCTTAATATTATTGCATTGGAGTTTAGGAACCAACATATGGATGTGGGGGGGAGGGGACACAGACATTCCGACCATAACCCCACCAAAAAAAGTCCTATCAGAACTACGACTGTTAAAAGTAAAATGATCTCGGCGAGGAAGAGGGGAATGTATTTTAATGCTATGAAAATACAGCAGTCCAACTTTGTCATTCTTTCTGTTTCCATAGAGCTGTATCTTTGTTTCGTGTTGCTTGAACGCAGTTTCATTTGTCCTTCCCACAGCAACTCCAGATGCCGGCGAGGATCCCAAAGTCACAAGAGCCAAGTTCTTTATCCGGGATCTGTTCTTGGTAAGCGATTTGGTGAAACTTTGTTTTCCCACCCCCTTAAAAACAGTGATGCTGTTCTTTGCAATTTGGAAATTACTTACCTTTGGATTATCTCATTTAATCTTTCTTGAAGTTATGAGAGAAAAGGTATGTTACCTTCATTTCACCACTGAGCACACTGAGGTTCAGAGAGGTTAGATTTCTCACTCAAGGTCACACAGATTCCAAGCAGCAGAGCCAGAGTGAGAACACATACCCCTGAAGGATGGCCCATGGATGAGCTAGATAGACATTGTTCACTTGTATTTTCCAAAAAGGACAGAGTCCTGCAGCAGAATCTGAAACACAAGCCCCCACACCCTTCCTCCATTGAGAACACTCAAAGGCTGGAGGTCAGCGTAAAAATGGGCCCACTCAGATACAGAGATGTTTTCCTTTTTTAAAAAACTTTTTATTTTGAGATTACTTCAAACTTACAAAGTAAAAGATTTGTCAAATAACTCCTATATACTTTTCACCCAAGTCAACCCGTGGGTGAGATTTTGCCACATTTGCTTTCTCTGTTTATGTATCTACATTTTTTTCTTTAGAAAAACCTGCAATGTGTAGCTGGCTATGAGTTTTTACTAGCTTGAAACTAGTCAATGCCAAGACACGCCCAAGGGCCTGGGCCTGGTGATGCTCCAGGTATCCCCCACACACATTGATGGGAGCATCTTTGTAAGACCATAAAATATAAAGACACAGAAAAAGTGTTTCATAAAATGCTATTCTAATTTGAACTAAAAGTTAGCTAAGGGTACAAATGTTGGGCATTTAAATGAAGATTAGAAATGGATTGAAGCCGAGCACAGTAGCTCACTCCTGTAATCCCAACTACTTAGGAGGTTGAGATGGGAGAATTGCTTGCGGCCAAGAGTTCAAGACCAGCCTAGGCAATTTAGAGAGATCCCATCTCTACAAAAAGCTTAAAAAACTTGCCAGGTGTGGTGGCACATGCCTGTAGTCCTAGTCACTTGGGAGACTGAGGCAGAAGAATCCCTTGAGACCGAGTTAGAGGCGGCAGTGAGCTATAATCGCACCACTGCACTCCATCCTGGGCAACAGAGCGGGACGCTGGATCAAAAAAATAGAAGTAAAAAATTAAAAAATAAAAACAAAGAAACAGATCTACAACCTCCCCCAAAATAAATGGGTACAGCACCATTGAGGCCTGGGACAGATCTTTTACTATTTGACAGTGGGCAAAACCTGGCTTTTGTGCAATTTGCAAATCAGAGAAATAAAGGCATGAAAGCTATTGTAGAATCTGCCTGGGACAGTGAGAAGTTCTGAGTTGTAACCTGCAACTCCAGACTTCAGAGGCCGCTGGAACAGGCTGCGAAGTTGGTTGTCTGCCAATATTTAATCTGGACAGGAGCACATCATGTACAAAACAATAACTTTGATAATACGAGGCCCCAGGGGAAGGAAGAAAGTAAAGATTATCAATGGAAAGAGAGACAGAGGAGAGGACACTCCTTCGAGGAGGGTGAGTTTGGGCAGGGAAGGGTGAGGGCACAGTGACAACTGACTCTGAGGAAGGGCCACTTGTTGTCTGTAAGCATTCTCCTTAAACGTTCAGCACAGTCACTGCATAAGAAGGGTACTGAGCACCAGAAGCTTGTCCCAGAGAAGGCCATTTGCTCCCAGTGGTGAGGGGCATGAACCATCTTCAGAGGCAGAAGGAACTTGGCACTGGAGAGTGTTGAGTAAGGTGAACAGGTGGTCAGTCCCCCCACACCCTGCCGGCTACCATGAACCATCCTGTCCCTCCACCTGGAAATCAGCTGCAAACCGAAGCTCAGATCTAGGCCAGAGTCTCCAAGCCCCTAAGGCCAAGGGTAGTGATCCTGGGATGAGCCCCTATCTTGACACTCTCAGCATTTGCTAGAGGTGTTTCTGTCTTCTGGGCATCTGTCTAGTTTTATAAGCTCATCTCAGATTTCTCCTACCTTGAACATGGCCAGCAGCCAGGCAGTCCAGCCAAACAGCCTGAGGCTGCCCAGATTTTCTGAACAAGTTTGTTTCTATCATTTTTATGAAAATCAATGGGCAAATTAGATGTATTGAAAGATTTAGAGCTGGCACGGTGGCTCACATCTATAATCCCAGCACTTTGGGGGGCTGAGGTGAGAGGATTGCCTGAGCCCATGGCTTCGAGACCAGCCCGGGCAACTTGGTGAGACCTCATCTCTATAATAAACCAAAAAATTAGCCAGGCATGGTGGCGCGTGCCTGTAGTTCCAGCTACTTGGAAAGCTGAGGCAGAAGGATCGCCTGAGCCCAGTAGGTCGAGGCTGCAGTGGCCATCAGCATGCCACTGCACTGCAGCCTGGGTGACAGAGTGAGACTCTGACTCAAAAAAAAAAAACAAAACTGATTTAAACTGATGCTTTCAAGTTGCAACAACCTTTGTAATGACTCCATTACCCAGATTCTTGTTGCTCTGGGCAGGGACAAACCAGTTGGACTATGGCCCAAAAAAAGCCTCTTTTTCATTCATTCACTACACACAGAGTGTGCCGAGTACCCCAACTGGGTGCTTTAGGATTAAGAAGACCTAAAACCTCCTCCTCTCAGTGTCCATAAGTTTAAAAATGGAAAATCTGCTCAATGGAAGCCTGCCTGTTGCTAAGATAGGACTGACTCCCTTGAGGAGTTTCATGCCCTGATGACCATCTTCACCCTTTCCATGGTTCAAGCAGCTCTCCAAAGTGTTTCTCAGGATTCTCTGCAGAACAAAGAAAAGGGGTGGGGACGAGGAGGAAGCCCAGGGATTCCCAAGGCACCTAGGAAGAAAGCAAGCTCCATATGACCTCTGCCTTAGTCTGCTAAGGCTGCCATAACTAAGTACCACTGACTGAGTGGCTTAAACAACAGAAACGTGTGTTCTCATAGTTCTGGAGCGTGGAAGTCTGATATCAAGGTGCCAGCAGAGTTGGTCCCTTATGAGGCTTCCCTGGAATTGCCAGTGGCCTCCTCCCTGTCTTCATGTGGTCTTCCCTCTGAATGTGTCTGTGTCATCCTGGTTTCCTCCTGTACAAACACCAGTTATATCAGTTAGGGCCACCCATCTGACCTCATTTTACTTCAGTTACTTCTTTAAAGTCCCTGTCTCCAAATGCAGTCACATCCTGAGGTGTCAGGGGTCAGGGCTTCCACATAAGAATTTTAGGGAACGCAATGCAGCCCCTAACAACCTTGCTGCAGTCATCATACTTGACTTCTCAGTGCTCATGAACATCATCATTCTAGGGTCCTCACAAATCATGGCCGATGATGTGAACCCCGTGATACCTAGTTATTTGACAGCAGAGCACTTTTCTCCCAGATGGCTAGTAAATGTTCTTCTGCCAACCAGGAGATGCCCCTTAGCAAAAAACCAAAACTCACCTGTGTGGAGGAGGCAGCCATGGAGACAGATGCTCTGGTCACATTTGGATATTTAAATGAATCAAAGCTGAATGAATTAGAAATCAGTCCCTCGGTCACATCAGCTAGTGAGACTGACAGGGCAGATAGGGAACACATCCATTATTGCAGAAAGTTCTGTCACACAGCGCTGGCTCAGACCCTCATGTCTGAAGCTCTTCCCCCGACTCCTCCCGCCCATGGCTGTTCCTGGCCTGGGTATGCTGTCTCAGCTCCACGCCAGTCTCCTGGGGGCAGAAATAAGCATGAGGTTCTCTGGCTTCCGGAATCATCCTCTGAATTCAGACAGTTCCTGCAGCTGGGGACTCCCAAACGAGACAAGTAGACAGGTAGCCCTCCCCAAGAGCCCTTCCCGGGAACACTGCCTAGTCCTTCTCCCAGGTGAGTCCAGGGGCTGCGCAAACCTAGCACGGACGCTCTCTCTTACAGAGGATCAGCACGGCCACAGGCGACGGCAAGCACTACTGCTACCCCCACTTCACCTGCGCCGTGGACACAGAGAACATCCGCAGGGTGTTCAATGACTGCCGCGACATCATCCAGAGGATGCACCTGAAGCAGTACGAGCTCTTGTGAGGCCACCCTTCCCGGCAGGGCGCCACCTCTGGACTGCCTGTCTGCCAGCCCGCATCATGGTAGGAGGTAGTGTCTAGTGTCCTCTCGCCACCGTGTCCTGTTCTGTGTACTCCCCAAGTGCAGCCACCAAGCCTCTGGCTACCTCTGTCCCCTCAGGTTTGGTTTGCAGCTTCTGTTGTCATGGAACCCAACCTTCCACCGCCCTCCACCCCCAAAGCACCCACTCTCCCTTGCTGACACTGCAGCAAAATTTCTTCGGGTGGGGGCCCCTTTAGCCAGTCATCCACCTGTTGATTCCTCAAGGAGAACTTGGTAGATGGGGAGAAAATGCTTTTTTTTTTTTTTAAGTGATCAAGCATGGCCATGAAAGCGTATATGCAGTGCAGGGAGTCAAGGCTCTTTCCAATGTTCCCTCTGTAAGAAGCTGCAGCTGGTGAGTGACTGTGGCCCAGGACTTAAGAGTAGACCTCAAGCGACAGAATGCCAAGAAACTCTGTTTGAGTCACATTTAGAGCTGCTGCCGGCCTCAGGCATTTGAAATAGACGTACACTTTGAGCCTTTTACATTTAGGCAGAAAACCTACTATCACCATGACTGCGAAATGTGTCCTGTCCAAAAGTGATTCTCTAAACTTTCACTGTACTTGGGCACAGTCTTCTTTCATAGGTTATCTTTGTTGTAGTCTTATTGCTGGTTTATTAAACTGTACAGACCACAAAATGTAATGCTCTTTTGTATCATTATTATAGAAAAATCCTTGTTGGTCTTTGTGCCTTTATCGTGGCGATACCTGTACGTGAAATGTGTTTTTATTGTGCTGAACAGCTTAACGTTGACATTACCTGCCACTTACTCTGAAATGGGAGCTGCAGAATGTAGATTTTAGCTGGTTAGTCCTTTATAAAAGACTCTTTGATTTAAACAGTTAGTTATATACATTCATCATTCACACCTTACCAACAGTGTGCTACCAACATACAAACCCTCGCGACCACCTGCTATGACTTCTCTGCGCCTCAGCTATAAAAACCTGAACTCCATTCAAGGGTACAAATTGCAACATCGTCTTCTTTTAGGAAACCAGGAATGTTTTTTTCTCTCCTGATAATGTTTCCCGATTTACTTTGCTAGTTTAAGACTTTGTCAGGTTTCCCGATTACTTTGCTAGTTAAAGACTGCGTCAGGTTCCCTAATGGGGAACAGGTCAGCCACTCCCTTAGTCAGAGCTTCAGACACAGGCTCTATTGTACAGGTAAACAGCAAGAGGAAAACAAAATGTGACGTGTCAATATTTGTGTCTGGCTTAGGAGAATAAGGATGACAGCTTCTTCTGTCTTTTGATGAAAAAGCATCATAAAACCTTTATTTGAAATATAAAGTAAAAAATACATGGCCCTTCTCACACTTGCAGAATTTAAAAATGCAATGTCAAACGTTTGGTACACAAACAACACCTAGAAAGTAAGAATTGCTGGAATAATGATACTTCATATTCTGTCTATACCCAGTGTTGAGGGTGGTTTTTGTAGGTTAAGAAAATCTGCAAAAATGTCCCAAGTTACATTTTCAATGACACAAGTTTAGAGACATGACAGCCTATATTACTTCATCCACTTCCTTGGAGGACTTGATTTTTAAAGTTTGCTCTGTAAATCAGCATTTTATCATCCTTTATCAACTCATCCAGATTTAAATGCCACTTTTCCACGAAAGAAAGGACGATAACTTTAGACAGTCTGTATAACAAACACATATTTTATCTCATCACCAACTTCCTGCCCCTCCCATCAACTGTCTCATAAAAGTCTGAGTTGAACTTTGAGACATATAAAAGGGAAACATGTCATATGAGTGAGACATTGTACCACTGAAAAAAACTGAAGAGATATATACCCCCACCCAAAAAAAGTGAAGTATATCGTTGTGTGCACTCAACAATTACCCTCAAACTAAACATTCTGGTGAAAGGTTAGATTCAAACAAGAGCCAGAGGGTTAGGAAAAAAACAAACAGAATATATTTCATCTGGCTTTAAATGGCCAAGATATTCATTTTCAAGTTCCAATTCCATTTTTCAAGTTTCCTTTGATCACTGACAGGCATTAAATTCAGATGTAACAACTTGGTCTTCTGGAGAGAAAATTACATGTATCTAAAAATCTGTGTCCATTAATTTAGCCCAGAAGCACAAAAGTCAACAAAATCAATGTGTTCCTGCATATCATGTCTGCACTTTTAAGAGTACGGTTTTATACTATGTAGGAATTTGAGAACCACCTCACAGGAGAGGGAAGCAAACCCAATATTTATGTACACACGTAATCCCAAGTGTGGATGGAGACTGCCAGGCCGTTCCTGGGGAAGCAGGCACTGCCATGCATGCGAGTGGTGGCATCGATAGCATTTACATACTGTACAGATGCAACCTTTGATGATACATGTCTTTGATAAAAATGAGAAGACAGATTAGTTGTAGAGTACGTGTTCCATTTTTATAGCATGAGGACGGTGCAATCAACTGTTTATTCTGCAGTAACTCACATCGATGATTAAGAATTTCTGTGATGGGGCAACCCCTTCGGGTCCTCTCCCACTGTGGGAGCTTTTCTGTCCTCTCAATGAATTCTGCTTTCTCACTTAAAAAAAAATAGAATTTCTGTAATGTGCATAAAGACAGCACTTTCAGTCTCACTGTCCACGTGACTCTAATGTGATCTCTGCCCGAATTCCATCTCTTGGGCTTTGATGTTTACTACTAAATGCAAACATCGCCTGCTCTTCATCTTGTCTTGTGTTTTCTGAGCAGGTTCCACCCAAAAAGAAAAGGTGAGGCTAACAGCTCAAAGTGAATAAGCGTGAGGACCACCAGGATCCCAGCTGCCCCACAGTAGGTGGTCAGAACGGTGTTCTCTAGTGGCAGGTAGCACTTGGAGAGGGCATAGTCTGAGGATGTTATGCTGCCCTGGAAAAGAAAAGAGCAGTTTACTCTGAGAGCACCAGATAGGGCTTGAGTACGACAGTCTGACTTAAAAACAGCGAAAGAAAAGTTGCCTCCTTAGGCCCCTCAGATGAGGAGGGGAAATGGCCTTCCTCACCTGGGACCGAGGGGGCATGGCCTTCCGTATGCAGTCACCAGCAACCAGCGCAGGCACTGGCAAGAGAAGGAAGTCAAGGGCCAAGTGTGCTTGGGCAGAAAAGGTCTAGGATGCTGACCTCTCCGTTAAACTCAGCCCCCGGCCCAGGAGGTTCCCATCAGATACAGTATGGGATCCATGACAGAGATTCAGAGAGGCACCATGGAGATCGAGGACCATTGGTCATGAGGAACCAGGAGTCCAAGGGTGTTTTCATGACCCTTGATACTCAAGTAAGCAATCCGGTACCTAGAAATACATGTGCCTGGGTCATCTCTGTGGGCTTTGCTTTGTAGGTACGTTTGTCATGTGGAAGGACAGTGGCAAATGTTTTCATTTACTTTGAATCTGAGAACATTAGTTTCCACCACCTTTTTATGATAGAAAAATATGTGATGTACAAGCATTATGAACTGGATGCAGGAATGCATGGCTGAAAGAAAGGAGTTAAAACATCAAGTGCTCATTAACTGAAAGGATGTCTTTAATGAACTTGCAGAGCAGTGGCATTTGCTGCCAGGGCAAACGGGCATGTTTGGAAAAATCAGAGGAGATGACTGAGTATGGCTAGTGAATACATGTTGTCTTCTTAGAAAATTAAACACACACACTCACAAACATAGTACCTTATCAGAGGACACTGCCTCCCCAGAAGGCTATAACACTCCATAAGATACTCCCCCCTCACTACTCAAATGAACTACCCCAAGAATAATGTTATGTTTATTTCTTCCCAGAAATGTGTGGAGACAGAGGACAGTGTATCAATCTAAGTGTACAGGGAGGGAAAGTTATTGATGGCTTTTGTAAATTGTTACAAAGTGCAGCAGCTAAATAGTTGATTACTGTGTTGATTTAAATGCGTATGAAAGCTTTCAGACAAAAATAAACGTTCACATTACCATGACGAAACTGGGGTTGTTTCTGTTCCTCCAACTGAAAGACGGGATGCTGAGCTCAGGGAGTCCTCCCTCGTGGAGCACCTCGCAGGCGCTATGCGTGTGGCCGCTGAGGACCAGCCGTGGCCGGAGCCACCACAGCAGCTGAGCATAGCCAAGGAAACAGCAAGACAGAGTGTTAACACTTGCACTCAACCGCGACGCAGAGCGCCACTGGCTATGCTTCTTTCGCTAAATTAAATACTAAATCTCTCTTGTGGGGCTGTTTTATTTTATTTTTTTCCTTAAAATCCTTTGGCCTGCTCATACTAAATCAAAGGTAAGGTCAGTGGCCAGGCAAGGTGGCTCACGCCTATAATCCCAGCACTTTGGGAGGCCAAGGTGAGAGGATTGCCTGAGCCTGCGAGTTTGAAATCACCCTGGGCAACTTGGCGAGACTTCATCTCTACAATAAATTAAAAAATTAGCCAGGCATGGTGGTGCGTGCCTGTAGTTCTAGTTACTTGGAAGGCTGAGGTGGAAGAATGGCCCGAGCCCAGCAGGTCAAGTCTGCAGTGGCCAGGACGTGCCACCGCCCTCCAGCCTGGGTGATAGAGTGGGACTCCAACTCAAAAAAAAAAAAAAAAAAAAAAAGAGGTAAGGTCAGCCTTACCTTGAAAGGGAATCTACTCTTCTTATCTCAGATTTTACATACTTTTATTTTATTTTTATAAAATGTGTATAGATTTACTCTATAGCTCTAGCTATATAAATATACTTTGTATATTTCTATATGTGTATATATTTACATACCTATATAAATTACATTTTTCAAATATATTTGTAAAATGAATCCATAAATATTAACAGATTATAAATGAATACAGGGTATTATATACATAAAAGAGAGCACATTTTAGGTAAGTCCTATAAATTTGACCCTAAGTTCCGTGCACATTTCCAAATACATTTAAGCTGATGAAAAAACTTTGAAAACAAAGTTTAGCAGAGAATACTGACTTGAGATTAAGAATTAGAAGTAGATCGGGTGCAGTGGCTCAAGCCTGCCATCCTAGCACTTTGGGAGGCTGAGGTGAGAGGACTGCCTGAGCCCAGGGGTTCGAGACCAGCCTGGGCAACTTGGTGAGACCGCGTCTCTACAATAAAAATTTAAAAATTCAAAGCTGGACTGGATAAAGAAAATGCGGTATATATACACAACGGAATATTATGCAGCCATAAAGAAGGACAAATATATGGACTTTGCAGCAACTTGGATGGATTTGGAGTAGATCATACTCAGTGGTCTTTCACAGAAACAAAGAACAAAGTACCATATGTTCTCACTCATAAGCAGACCTTGAACAATTATACTATAAGAAAATATTTGGCAGTAATGGGAAACTGTCAGGGGAGGGGGATGGGATTAGCAGTTGAGGGAAACTGCTAGGGGAGGGAGGGGCATACCTCATCAACAAGGGTACCTGCATAATCAAT